CCACACCAATTCATTATTGTATTTATATAAAATGATTTATTTTATTCTGTAAGAATATATAATGAAATCAACAATGTATTTATTTATATGCAAGCAGATTATAAGGTTTATGTAATATTTGTGAGCAATTTTGAATTATACTATTTACGCTTTTTAATTTACAAAAAAAAAATCAAAACAACGGAAACAAATCTTTATGCTATAAACAATTGATAATTGATTCCTGTGAACATGTATAAATTGTAAAATTGCAAGAAACCAAGCTTGCATTCAATAATAACTTTGAAAAGTGAAACAGAGTATATGTATCTTACGTTTAAGGAAACTCAAACAACTGTTTACCGTTCTCTGAATGAACTATGAAATCCAGTAGACAGCTGTGGATAATTTCTTTCTTGTTCTAGGAATACAGCCACTGCTGCCTTTGCAGGAGTCAACAATCCATCAGAATTTGAACTAAACGAATTGTGTTCAGCACTCTTTGGCACTAATTGTGGAGAACTTGTTTGCTTCGTAGATGAAGGTATTAAATGCTCTTCTGAACAGTCATCAAGAACTTCTTCAGTAGAAACGTTCAAATCAGTTTGGCGAACATCAACCTGATGAGCTTGACTGTCGCTGAGGGTACGTGTATGAGTAACACCGTTCCGCGAAAGAACAGCTAACTTGGTATCGCGGTGGCTGCCATCAAGAGAGATGTTCGAAAGAAATGTTAGCGCGGCCAACCTTCTACGTGAATTATTCTTTTTTAAGGCTGCTGCCATTCCACGGTTGACCGTGTCGACAAACCGATATTATCGAGTACCAACGTAAACGACCAGGAAAGGAACGGACGCCCAACAAGGATTCTTTTATCAAACGAGGACAACTACTAGGATCACAATTCATTGTCACCGCTCGTACACTTAGTCCTGACATTTTCCATTGACGTGCTCACACAGCACACGTAGTAACGTGAACCGGTGTCACTCGTCATTGTACTGTTTCTTCTCATAAGATTAAAAAACAAATCCTGCTACCAATGGAACAACCTTCTTTCCTACTACGCAACACTGTAACCCATCCTCCTCTTGACGGCCGAATGATATCCTCAGTCTTCTTCTGCGACTGCGCGTATTCTTACTTATGTTCAGGTAAAAGTGTATAAGATTTTCTAGAAATTTCGTTTTTTCTTTAAAAAGTTAATACAAATTCATACCTTCCTTTACGCAAGATCACTGTCGTCATAGATTTTACGAATTATATACAATTTATTTTTGTGTATATAATTATCTTCTGAGGTTAGCAGCAATGATCTAAAATTAACTAGGCAATACTATATAATACCATCTTCTTTTTTTATATTAGAAATATATAACTATTTTCTGGTATTTAACATAATTTTATTATTCTATATCATATGTAAAAAATATATTATCTCTAAAATTTCCAACATGTATAATAGAGAAAAATGTAAATACTCTTGTTACTAGCTTTCAAAATAAAAAGTACATAAATAGAAATATTAAAATCAAAAGTAGATATGTATATCAATTATAATAATAAATATAAGACTTACGAAAATCGTAAGAAAATGTAAACTACTAAAAATAATCACGTTTGTATTTATGTTTATTGAAGCAGTGAAAAAAAGCATTTTTTTGGTTATTTTATTTAGAAGAAATGATTACATATTTTCGTAATCGTTATTTCAAATGTATATTACAATCAATATTACCACAGACTAGGTATAGAATAGACCTATCGTCCAATGTATCTTTCTTATCACACAGTTTGAGATTCTAAAGTCGCTTTACCATTTTGTGTCACTTCCAATGTTACCGATTCAACATAGGAATAAGATTACAACACTAATAGTGGTCGGAATTAAAACAAAATGTATGAAACATATTATAATTAATTTATGCTTATAATTTTATAGTTATAGTCACATATACATAAACGAAGCATGTCGTATGCTATATATCGTTTGTGATATCTTTTGGTAATGCAATAAAAGAGGATCTTTTTTTTATGTCTGCTGACTTTACCAACTTCGATCGTTAGGTTGCATGTAATTCCTAAACTCACCACTTCAGAACGTGGAGGGCGTAACAAAATATCTGATTATATATTAGATTGGTATTTCAGTTCGTGACACGAAGTTGCATAAGATGAAAGATTTATTGTATACCTCGTCTGTGAAACTCTGCACATAACTATCCTATACTTATGTATAAAGATTTCCAAAAATATTATTAGATATAATTATTAAGAATGTATTTTATTGCAACCCATTCCCACTACAAATAATATTCTTTTTTATAGCTGGCCTTTTCCTTTTTTAGATAAACTAGTTGTTTTAAAACATATATTTAAATTTATATATTTTTATCGATATTTTGCAAATAATTATTGAAGGTAAAATTTTTTATGGTTTTTGTTTTCGCATATTTATCTTCATTAGTGGAAAATAAAACAAAACAGGAAATAACAAATATATAAATAATCGTGTTAGAAAGAATTAAACAATAATTTATATGAATTAAAATTTGTTCTGCTATTATTGGCATAATTTTTTTAATATTTTTAATGGGATAAAACAAATAACAAAGCAAAAGAAATAACAATTATTTATTAAAGCCTATCGTGGATAAGTAAAATTGAAAATATTTATATTTTCATTGCTATTAATTAAGGATTCTAAGCCTGTTAAATTGATCAAGAATATAATTAATATTTACATATTGTTTCTGTTATTATAAACCTATACATAAATAATTCTATATTAAATAACTGTACAGTATACAAGTTAATACAAAGCTGTTTTAGAAGCAAAAAAAACTAATCTAATTGATATAAAAGTAGTAATATTATGCAAGAAGGAGGTATTAAATTACATATTTTATTGTATCAAATATATTGAACTAAAAGACTAGCAATGAGAAAACAAACATTATGTCACATTATTTATTTGAATTTTTGGAAATAATTTTAGTATTTTACGATTTTTCAACATTCATCTATGTGTTGCAGGAAATTCCCAAACTAAACTTAATATTTGATTATTGTAAAATTGTTTGTGTTTATAACTTACATCTTCAAATTCGTATGTATTCAACTTGTAACAATCTATGGCATGAGATGTTTTGGATATAGTCTATGACATTTGTCTAAAATGATAAGAAAAGTGATGCTCATTATTAAGAATATCTTAAAGTAGCTAGTACAGAAACGTTCTCCATTTATACAACTTGAACTATTCACATGGTCCTAAAATTTTGTAAACAATGTGACAATCATTTGAATGATATTAAAAACTAATTTCTACAAGCAACAATGTTCATACAACTTTTTGTCAATAATTATAAAGAAATTTATATTTAATTTACATAATGATAATAGAAAATTCCGTAAACTCTGAAATAATCTAAAAGGACATCGCAACGAGAATAACATCCAATCATTTTAAATATACAAAGCCATCCACGCTGTATTCTTAAAATAAATAATTTCATTAGTTTCTTGCGATGATCGAACGGATGATTAACAATCATAGTATTAGCTGCTATGATTGCTTATGCCAAATATAGATTTAGTATCCATAACTAAATGTCCTGGCTAGATTGCATAGAAAATCCTAGGGTGGTTATAGATACTGCCATCGTGTTGACATAAGACTACTTAAAGACTCGATACCCCTTGATATGGATTCATAAAGTCCATGCCCCAGCCACATTTGATTTAATTGCCTGTACTTATCATGACACAATCGAAGCGGATTTCCTCTTCGTAAACCTTGATCTGTTTCTCCATACTCATCAAGGTAAGGTGAACAAGCAAAAGATCCTCGATTTGAAATTCTTAAAAAAAGGATTTCACACTGCCGTATTCGTAAGAATAATCCTACTCCAGCTCCACATTTACTTGCGTGATATGTACACGCACCAACTATCGCATCATTCACTTCATATTGGCAACAATAACTTTGAGAACATAACATTTCGCCACATACGAGACACAGCGTCGGAGTTTTAGAATCCTCTCGAACGCTGTTGGGACATCTAAATGGCGATATCATATTTATTAATTCACTATAATCTTCTGGAAGCTCCACTAATTTATTAACTTTCAATGGTTCTTTTATTATTGTGTCTGTACTATCACCAGATAGATGCATTTGAACAGTGGGGTGACTTTTCCAAATATTTATTAATTTTATAATTATATCTAAATTTGGCTTTACTAATCCATCACATGTTGTAGGTAATCCCAAATATGCACAAATATTTCCATATGTTGCTCCATTTATTTTAGTTAGTTCCTCTGGTGCTGGAACATCAGATATATAATGAAAATAGAGAGCACAACATCTAAGAAAGGGTAAAGAAGCTTCTGTGACTCGTCTCCATATATTAGCAGCTGTTTGAGTACCAACATTAATATTTAAAATTTGAACCAATGTTAAAATGGATTCCGAGTACGTGTTTTCAGTTTCTTGACTATCTATCTCCATCTCTTCACTAAAATCTGATGTTAATAATATTTTTACTATAAGAGATATAAATATAAGCTGCAAAGCATAAAATTCAAATATTCCACCAGTAATGATTGGCGGAGTCACACATTTTGTACTAAAGAGACATGGGAGTGAATTGATTAAAGGAACAAGTACTCCAAATGGATCCCAATCTAAAATACTTGCTCCGTCATGCGGATTTTTTAGTAATAATGTTAAAAGAGAAAGAGCATGACTTCCAATAGTCTCTTTATTTGCCCATGTTGAATGTGTTAAACTTGTACGTAATGTACACGTCGATGCTAAAACAGCTGAAATTCTAGTAAGCCCTTCTAAACTGTCCCTTTGTCTAGATGATAAAGCACCCAATAAAGGTTTATCCATATCACGTAGAAGGAATTCTATAGCATGAATACTATATGCTGTTGATTTCCATGCCAATAATGGTACTCTGGAATCACCTTCATGAGGTTCAGTGCCAAATTCTTTTGTGTATGCTGCTTGTGCAAAAAAATGAATTGTAGTAATTAAATTTTCTGAAATGGAGAATGCATGTTGTTTATAAACGGATTCAAAAGCATTTGCTGCATTTCCAAGTTCATGACGAATGGCCTTTACAGGACATACAAATGCATTTGCATAGTAGCGACATGTTGGATCAAGTTGCTCTTTAGTAGATTGTGGTTTATGTAATTTTTCACTTAATTTGCATTCTGTGATTCTTAGAGCTTCCAACCATGTACCAAAATCAATTTCAGGCTGATTTGGTGAAGTTGGTTGTAATGTTCTTAAAGGTGGTAAAAGAGGTAAGACAGTATTACTGAGACACTCGCAAAGTGGACAAAGATATTCATGTTTCTCCACATCAAAACTTGCTGGTTGTCGTATACGGAATGGCCTTCTATTCTCTTTTGCAAGTACATTATTAAAATACTCTTGCCAACAATGTACATGCATTACATGACCACAAGTACCAGTATGTGGTGATGCACCAAGTTTTGCAGAAAGAATTAATGGATCAGGCTCATCAATATTATATCTATCTTGACACAGTACTGTGGATTGTTGAACAAATGCAGCTAATACCATTGCTGGACCAGCTACTGTTACAACTTGATCCTCCTGGCATAAAATACAAGTTTTATAAGTTTCTTCCCCAGAGATGTTAGATGTTTGTCCAATACCAACAGCAACAGGTATTTTTTGAGGACACTTTCCCGAATTCATACTAGAGTCACTATTGGTAGATTTATTCACATCTAAAGCAGCTTCTTCAAATAGCTCAGCATTTTCTTTCATAAAATGTTTCTGCATAGCAGCCATTTGTGCCATTATTCTTGCACGTTTTTCTGCTGCCATTTTTGTCCTCCATTCTTTCTCAGTTTCAACATTTTCACTTGTAACATTTTCTGTATTTGATGCAGCAGCTGTTGTGTTAACTTCCATTGCAGTATTACCAGCAACTTCTCTATACTTTGTTAAAACCCAAGTTAATAAATCTTTATGAGCTTCTACACGTGGACTATTAGATAAATCTTCTAACAATTTATAGATTTTCCATTTTGCAGCTCTTGCTGTAAAAGCAAAAAAAGGATAATAACCAGATTCTTGTTCTTGAAGGGCATATCCAATAAGATGTAAAATCTTATGCACTTGTGATTCTGAAAATCTCCGGGGCCTACAATTAAGTGCTCTTTCTAACACAATTTGCATAATATGTAACATGACATCACACTGCAATAAATTCGTTACCAAACTAAACACTTCTGTTAATTTGGGAAGTTTGGGAGGTGGACAACATTCTAATTCTCCTAAAGCTTTTCTTCGTTTTCGTTGTGTTTCTTCAGAGTTACTTACTTCCTCTTTTGTATAATGATAAAAGAATACATTATACTCAGAATATAAATGAGGTTTTAGTTCATATACTCCTTTTCCTCCTAATGCTTGTGAAGGTTTTTTAAAATCTGCAACATCATGTATTACCCTTTCCATTTCAGTTTCCAAATCTGTATCATCCGATAATGTTCTACTAAGCTCTGAATGAGAAAGAGGTTTGATACATAATTGCTGAATTATTTCCTTTTTTAAAATATCATCAGCAGTAACTTGTCCAACTCCAAGTACATATCGTTCTCCTATTATTGTTATAAGTAATCCTAGAAACTCTTCAACCAACGTTTGTCTGGTACTCTCATCTTCAAGATATTTGACAGCATTTGCATCAAAGTCTGAACTTGCCCATTGTAAAAGATTAAATTTATTTAAAACATGAATGAGAAATTCATTACTTTCTATTAAAGATGCCCCAGCTTGAAGTAAAATAATATCTCTGTCTAACATCTCTGAGCGACATTTAACATTGTGATAAAAATATAACTGATTTAACAAAAAATATCCATTCCTCTTCCACATACCACTATGTACTTGTGCAATCATTACTTGAGTTGCTAATACCGGTTCTATAATCTGCTCTAATGTTGGCTTTGTATGATTGATAAACTCTGCACATTGAAAATGTAAATCATGCATTTCAAGATATGGAAAAAGACCTGCTAAAAATCTGGAGAGTGGAAGATGTATAGATACTGGTTCAGATGATACATCATATTGAAGACATGTTGCACTATGATCTGCTAATTCTCTCACTTGAGGTAAACCATACTTATGTCCTGGCTGTTCATGTAATTTTCTCAAAACCAGCCTAAAAGCTTTTATTAAAACAATTTGATCTGAGCCACACCATTGTAAAGCAAGACTAATAACTGGAGATAGTTTAATATATAAATTAAACGCAGATTCCCATTCAGGTTCATATTCCATATGTTGACCAACTTGTCTCACCACAGCATCCATACATTGCATACTGCTAAGTAGTGTAAGTAAAAGTGCAAGTCCCTGTAGAAAGCTTTTTCTTAATTCATCAGTCCAAACTTGTGGTTTAGAGCTTAGCAAATATCGTAAATCTTGAAGTATACATATAGCTCTTTTAAAAGAAATATTCGGAGTATCTCTTTCAAATTCCAACTTCCCTGCATCGTTACATCTTCGTGAACTTTCCGAAATAAAAGTATTTAATAAGATAAATAGCACATCATGATGTGCAATAAGATAGTGGGCCAATGTAGGCACTGTAAATAACTGCACAGAGAATGAAACAATAGAAAATGAATGATCATGATCATCTCCTATGTAATCTTTCATAATAGAACCATAGTGAGAAGTAAAGACAATTGCTAAAGCTTTTTTGCTTTCATATTCCATAAGCATTCCAGACATTAATAATGTGTGCCATGCTGTTCTTGCAGATTTCCATAGCTGTGAATCTTTCAGAAGTATAGCTTCTACAATGGAAATAAGTGGTATTTTTGTATTGAGTGCAACATCACTGAAAAGCACTCTGAAACTCTCACAGGGATTTATGAATTGTTGTAGCCAATGTAAAAGTTCCATGGCAAATATCTGATGAGCAATTACATGAGCATGAACTACAAGTACCTTCAATGCTCGATTACTATGTCTTGAAGTAAATTTTTCAATATCATTCTGTAATTCTTTGCATTGCTGAAATCTAGCACGCTTTACAACAGCTCTGCCATCTTTGTCAACAACTGTTACAAATTCTAGTGCAGCTCTTTGTGTGCAATTCATAACACGTGTAAGTGTACCAATCACTTGATCAAATGTATGAGTCTCATCATTAAAAAGAACTGTACAATAATCATCTGTAGTTAATAATAATGACAAAGGATCATCATCCTCAATATCATTGAAACACAAATCTAAAGGTAATCCTTGTGTAGGTTCTAAAGATAACATTGTATGGCAGTACCTTAATACTACCTCAAAAGTCACTACTGCTCTTCCTGCTATACTTCCAGGTAATTTATTTTCATGAGACTCTTTAGCTTGAATTCCAGCTAAATGTGTATTACAAAATGGTTCTTTCTTCCAAGCTTCTATATCTCCACAATCACAAAATCCTCCACCGCTAGAAGTACCCATTCTATACTTATGATGACGATGAGCTGATTGTTTAAAACAATCTGCACACAGGACACATGTCGGATCCACACCACATTCTTTACAACTATATGTAGCCTCGCCCATTTTGAATACTTTACCACATATCACATTATCTGTTTGACTTAGTTCTTTTAATACACCCTTTGGATCTCCATTACAAATAAATTCTTCTAAGGTATTAAAAAGTACTTTTTGTGCTCTTTCTCCATCAAAAAACCAATTTCGACAATCACTATTTGGTTCTGGACTATATATTTTTGGAACCCAAATTCGCCAGTGTTCTTTAAAGTGGGTGTCTGATAATATTCGTTGATTCATTTTGTCCATCCACACATTTACACATTGACGTGGGTCACTATGCAACCTTTCGTTACTCATTGTGGTAAGTTGAATTGCCAAAACAATGTGTACTGAAATAATAAATATTACAAATTAAAGTTTACAAACATGTTAACATTAAAAGTTTAATATTCTACAACTAATTTTCTTAGTTTGTGACAATTTTACAAAATTAATACGGTACATAATTGATTAAAATAAATCTTTATTTGCCCTTTAATTAAAAAGTCCTTACAATATCAATTATCTAACATACATTATTATTTTATATACTTTATTGTAACAAAAATTAAAAAATATTAATACACTTTACATTAATGCAATTGTACATTTAAATATTAACAATATATTATAATATGTACAATATCATACAAATTTTGTTCTAAAATCATAAACTTGATAAATATTGCTATACTAACCACAGTAATACACGGAATCAATATAGTTCTTGATATAATGTACCAATGAAAGGCAGATGCATTATATGATATCTTTTACATTGTTATTTGATCCAACACATCAACATTAAATGTATCAAAATCATTCATAGAATTTTATTAAATGAGGTACCTTACTCCATATAGATTATGTGATTTGATACAGTTTCACTACTTCACACAATGCTCCCATTTTTACTCAATCATAATCTGAAAGTGATAGGTTACCAAGGGTTTACAGACAAAGAAATTTGCTCACAATATAATTACTACCTTCTTACTTTAATTACAAAATGTTAGTAATTGCGTCTAATCTTGAATGCTTATTTAGCAAATGGGATATTTAAATAACTCGAGAAACTAAAAGCTCGTCAGTTTCGTAAGAGATAAAAACTAAACATTATATTACAAAATTTTATGTTCTATGTAGAACGAACAACATTCTGTTTTGAAAAAATATTTCATAAGTGTAGGCAGACTTTTCACCAAACCAGACTATTTTTAACTTTCTCTGAAGACGATACTTACTGTTATGACGACCAGGCCAAGGTTAATAAAAGATATTGGAAAGTTCTTTGTTACACAAAATCTGTATATGATTTTTTAACTACGTGTGTGATGATACTTCAAAATTGTCGCCTTATGACAATCATATGTTCGCGTCAAAGATAATATTCGACAATAATAATCAACCAAGTTTTGACATCTCAAAACGGAATGATAAGCAATACTTTTACACAGCTGCTTGAACAATGCACAAAATGGCTTATGAAGTTTAGAGACCGAAATTACATCTATATTAGATACGCTTTCGTTTTAATATTTGTTTCTGACTGCAGCGCCTGAAGAATTTGCATGAAGTGTTTTTATATATAATAAACTGAAATAAATGTTTGTTAATGTAAAAGAAATACAAATTGTGAAACAGTAATATATTTAAATGTTATAGACTTTACATAGTTAATGTACTTAAACATTTCTTTATCTTTACTTACTATACACAATAAGTATTAATTCCTACTTGCAAATAGAATTCAGAAAAATTTGGAAATCCAAAATATTCATTATAAAGTACTATACATAAGTATAAAATATATTTTCATGTATTATTTTAAATATTTAACATATTATGGTAGTATTTCAACTATGGTGTGGTATCAATTTTTACATTAAGATAATTTAATAAAAAGATGACATTTATAATATCTTACTAAAAAATTGATATACAGCAAATTATGTGATCAAGACTGAAAAGAAAAAAATGTTCAATTAAATATAGAACATAGATATATAAGTTCATATTTTTCAATTACGAAACTTTCAAAAATATTTCACCTTAATTTACTAGTTTTCCATATTAGACTTTTTAAAATTAAGTAATATCAAATTAAAAGATTGGTAACGATGAATCTCTAGTAGGGACTTTATTCACACAAAATCAGTTGGATCGTGTCCTTTTCAGTTCATAACGTTGTTGCAGTAACACGTGGTGAAGAGTGTGATTATTGAATTTAAAGCAAAATACGAATATAATAATGTAAGTAGGTACATCAAATTAAGTATTGAGTTACGTGCTTTGTACACATAATAAAGAAAATTATTTACTTTTACTAAATTTTGTTATATTCATACGTATTCATATAGCTTCAAATTGCATACTGATAACGCATCGCAATAATTCTTTAAATGTGCATAAAACTATGCATATATCATCATCTCAAACTATTTTAATTTTTTATTTATTATGCAGAAACTATATGTGAAATAATTAAATAAAATTATTAAACATAGTGTAGGTACTGTCAGACAGTTCTAGAACAAATTGTATATATGACACTACATGGTGTAACTTGTTATCTGTTGTCTGAATAGCCATAAATAGTATTAAAGAATGCGTTATATATTATGTATTCCTTTTAATTAAAATTAGATTTGGCAATCAATCGAAAACATTATGTAGTTATTTAATAATTAATTAGAAAAT